TCAGCCTCCCGAGTAGCTGGGATTATAGGCACCCACCACCATGCTCAGCTAATTTTTATATTTTTAGTAGAGACAGGGTTTCACCAGGTTGGCCAGGCTGTTCTCGAACTCCCGACCTCAGGTGATCCACCCGCCTCAGCCTCCCAAAGTGCTGGGACTACAGGCATGAGCCACCGCACCCAGCTGGAAGGGTCATTTTTCCTGAACAAACTAACTTGCAGAGAAAGGTCTTTACAAAACCAAGTAGACGGAGCTTGGCTGAGTAGCCCTTAACTTTTGAAGTGAACTGAAATGTCATTGGTTAAAAAGATCCACGGACACCTGTTTTCCTCACTTCACCAGCTTTTAAGTGTTGCATCTGGTGTCCTTCTTACTCTGCTCTGGAAACAGATGCTGAGTGGGGCCTCAGTTTCTCCTTGACTGTAGTATAAGGCTCCTTCCAACTCTAAAATTCTGTGGTTCAGAGTGACTGAGTTTATTAGATTATTTGCTAGGAAATAAGGAAAAGAACTCTAGTTGCAAATTGCTCATAGACAAGAAGTCAGGCTGGGCAGATCAGTATCTGGAAACATCTGCCAGTGTCTCTCTTTCTGCAGGCCTGGGCCAGGGCATGGACCTTCTCAGCTTCCAATCTTTTCACATAGTGCTCACCAGCAAGGGTGGCTGAAAGTCAAGGCCATATGACACTGAACAGCACAGGGGAGGTGGGGCCCCTCTGCAGCATTACGTGCGGTTATTTCACACCAAGCTAGATGGCACCGGGATCCTAGAATGAGTGGGACCCTGTCCCTGCCCAAGGAGGACACAGTACAACAGGGGAATGACACAAATAACTATAAGGAACTATGGAAACTTGGAAGGACCCACAGGTGAGGCATCAAAAAAGCAGAGCACGATTGGGAAAGAGTGATTCGCCTGAATTAGGTAGGATCAGGAAAGACTCTGGGAGGAGACAGCATCTTTATATCCTTCCACAATAGAGCCAGGGCTGAATTATCCCCAGTGCACACCCATTACTGGTTTCATTCCTCAGGCTTGGAGAGGGAATGAATTGGTCTGTCATCGTGAAGGTTTGTTCAGCCTTCTCTGAGGGCATCTTCTGACTCCTGCGGTAGGTAAGAAATGGAGGGGCTCCTGAATCACCTTCAAGGCAGATGAAGAGGAGCTGTGGAGACCCTTTGAAGCATGGCCCCTGGGCATGGGATCTGGTAAGAAACCTCCTTCCCAGCTTTTCCATTGAAACCTTGGATTTTAAACTTGGGCAGAGTTTCCAACATTTCATTTCGCATCTATCCACAGGAATAATAATAATAGTATACCTGTATGACCTTGTTCACAGGTTTGCTTTCAAGGTCAAATAAGACGAGCAATAGTACCTTGTAGATCCAGTATTATACTAGTTAAGAAGAAAGACTGGAGCCCAGTGGCCCGGATTAAGTCCCCGCACCTCCCCCAGCTCCACTATGCACTTGTTGGGTGACCTTGGGCAAGTTATTTAACCTCCCCATAACTCAGTTTCTTCCTTGACAAAATAAGAGTGAGCCTAGGGCTTCCATCATATAGTTATAAGGATTCAAATGAGTTAAATGTAAAGCACTCAGGCCAGGTGTGGTGGCTCACACCTGTAATCCCAACACTTTGGGAGGCTGAGGCAGGAGGATCCCTTGAGCCCAGGAGTTCAAGACAAGCTGGTCAACATAGTGAGACCCCATCTCTACAAACAATTAAAGAATTATCCAGGCGTGGTGGCATGTGCCTGTAGTCCCAGCTACTCAGAGGCTGAGTTACGAGGATTGCTTGAGCCTGGGAGGTTGAGGCTGCAGTGAGTTGTGATGGCACCAGTGCACTCCAGCCTGAGCAACACAGACAGACCTTGTCTCAAATAACTAACTAACTAACTAAATAAAGCACTCAGAAAAACACCTACTGCATAGTCAATATCATACTATATAAATTGAGCCGTCACTATTATTGTTGTAAAGTGCTATACAGGACGATTATGATGGTCACTTCTTAGACACAGAAGCAGAGTTCTGCTGTGTCTACATGGAGAGGAACACTAGAGGCAGCAACGAGTTCTGCCCTGAACTCCTAGTCCAGGCTTTAAAAAAGAGCCATAAAAATGCCATCCCACTGATGAACGTCTGGAGCAAGCGAGGCGTGCCTTGACCATCCTGGAAAAACATATCTCCACCCCACCTATACTTATCTCCTCGGCTCGCTTCTGGCCAAAGGTCCCCACTTGGTCTGAACCTACTGCATGCAGAGCTTTGCCACAGATGTCCCTGTACTGAGAGGTTCTGGCTGGTTGGGACGTTCGATGGGGCAGCTGTGGACGCTGTTTATTGGCCTGAAATGTGGAACCAGTGTGGAGAAGGCAACACAGGCTAGGTTGACCTCAGATGTTGGCTTTTTATTTTTTGAGACAGGGTCTTGCTCTGTCACCCAGGCTCGAAGGCTCGAGTGCAGTGGCGCATCATAGCTTACTGCCGCCTTGAACTCCTGTGCTCAAGCGATCCTCCTGCCTCAGCCTCTCAAGTAGCTGGGACTACAGGCATGTGCCACCATGACCAGCTAATTAGAAAACATTTTTCAATACAGATGGGGTCTCGCTTTGCTCCCAGGCTGGTCTCAAAGTCCTGGGCTCAAGTGATCCTCCTGTCTCAGCCTCCCAAAGTGCTGGGATTACACGCTTGAGCCACCACGCCCGGCCCTTTTGTATTTTTAGTATAGATGGTTTTTCACCATGTTGGCCAGGCTGGTCTTGAACTCCTGGCCTCAAGTGATCTGCCCGCCTCGGCCTCCCAAAGTGCTGGGATTACAGGCAGGAGCCACGGTGCCCGGCCGAAATTCTTTCTTCTTTCTTGCCTTACATCAGCCTGAACGAGTCCGTGATTGACAAGTGTTCAGTGGACTGTCACATGGTTTCTTCTGCTCTTCACAGCCACCCTATGCAGCAGGTGTTAGTATTAGTGTCCTCAGATGAGACGACTGAGGCACAAAGAAATCTGGTGACTTTCTAGAGGTCACCTGGCTTTGTCACTGAAGGAACCAGGATTTTTATTCTTTAAAAATTTTTATTTATTTTCTTTGAGGCAAGGTCTCACTCTGTCTCCCAGGCTGGAGTGCAGTGGTGTGATCTCAGCTCACTGCAGCCTCAACCTCCTGGGCTCAAGTCATCCTCTCACCTCAGCCTTCTGTGCAGTTGAGACTACAGGCATGCGCCACCACGCCTGGCTAATTTTTGTAATTTTTGTAGAGACAGGGTTTCACCATGTTGCCCAGGCTGGTCTTGAACTCCTGAGCTCAAGCAATCCTCCCACCTCGGCCTCCCAAAGTGCTGGGATTATAGGCATGAACCACTGTGCCCCACCTGAAGGAACCAGGATTCTAACTGTGCCTGTCATCTCCAGTCCAGTGTGCTTTGTGTTACAAGAACAACAATTCATCCCCTGCGGCAGCAGGCTGAACAAATCTGCTTCCTCAGATGAAGGAGCCACACTGAGCCCTCTGCCGAATGGAAGGAACAACCCCAAATTCCAGAGCCTAGGGAGGGCTAGGGAAGGGGTCGCAACGAGGATACCGGCATCTCAGGTGCTCTGCTAGTTTTCCCAAAACGAAGCAATTCAAACAATACAATTTTTTTTTTTTTTTTGAGACGGAGTCTTGCTCTGTCGCCCAGGCTGGAGCGCAGTGGCCGATCTCCGCTCACTGCAAGCTCCGCCTCCTGAGTTCATGCCATTCTCCTGCTTCAGCTTCCTGAGTAGCTGGGACTACAGGCGCCCGCCACCACGCCCGGCTAATGTTTTTGTATTTTTAGTAGAGACGGGGTTTCACCGTGTTAGCCAATATGGTCTTGATCTCCTGACCTCGTGATCCGCCCGCCTTGGCCTCCCAAAGTGCTGAGATTACAGGCGTGAGCAACAATACAAACATTAATATGGGCCTGGCCTTAAACATCTGAAAGGGCTGTCCTTAGTTCCACTGTTTTTTATCTCAAGGATGAGGAAATGAGAGAAGAAGAGGTGATTTCAAAGGCTGTCCCATGAGCCCCAACTTAGAGAGAGAAGGTTGGCTAAGTAAAGACAATACCCATTCACGTTCCCCCAGGGGGAATGAATTCGCTTCTGTTTAGCATTTCTGTGTCTTTGCTTGAGAAATTCTAGGTACTTGTAGACACAGAGGAGATGATGTATCCCAATGGATGTGTGTTGAGGAATCCATTTGTGGGCATAATAGTGCTAAACAGTGGTTACATACGGACAGATACGAAGCCCGGGAATAGTTGAAAATTGGGTGAATCAGAAGTGGAATACAATCATATTTTTACATGTTTCTAGCTCTCCTCTCTCCTGCCTTAAATATCTTGACCTCATTCTGGCTGTCTCACTACTAAATAGGCAAATTTACTTTTAGCAAGGCTGCTTCTTTTAAGACTGTGTGTCCATCTCCTGGACAAATTTGGAATAGCAAGAAATTTGTTAGGAATTAAGGAAAGGGACTTTCCCAGGCAGCAGCCACTTAGGGCTGGCTGCTTCTGAGCATGTTCCGTCTTCCCAGGCCTGGCTCACAGTTTTCAGTGCTTAACGCGCATGGCTTTGTGCGCAATTCACTTAATTCTTCCCTCAGCCATCGGGAGCTAAGGACAAACTGTTATCCCAATTGTACAGGTGAGGAAATCGGAGCTCATTTAAATAAATTGCCGAGGTCACACAACTAGTAAGTGACAAAATCTCAGTCAAACCGAGGCTCTTTTGGCTCAAAGGCGTGTATTGAGCCCTACTCTGCTCTGCAGGGACAGAACTAAGTATGTTTTCTATTCAGGGCATGCACAGTCATTCCATGAGTGAGTTACACAATGTAAGATAAGGACATTGTGAAAAACAAAACTATACCATACATAATGCACTTTATAATAAAGTACTGGGAACAGAGTATGTGGTAAATTGTAACTATAATAATAATTTTAAACAGATCCACTAATCACACATTATTATATTCTGTTTCACTCGGGCTTTGCCTTGCTTCCCACTTTTGTACTAGGTCCTCTTGGCTTTAGTTTCTCCCCAGTTCTCTACCCTTTGAACTCTCTCCAAAGCTTCCCTAGAATTTTTGCTCTCCTAGAAATTAGACAGGCACCTGCTCACATCATACATCCCCTACTCTTGTCACCAGACATACACACATCCATCTTCTGGGCTTTCTGTTCTCTTGCGGAAAAGTCTGCAGGGGAAGCTGAGGCAGAACCAAGTCCACCAGATTCCGAGGAAAGATAAGTATGGACTCTGTAACCAGATAAAAGTGAAGCCACAACTTCACTTATTCCACAAATACTTTTTGACTACCTATAGCTGGCACGCACTGTTCAAGGCGCTGAGGTTCCCACAGTGACAAAAGAGTCTGCCTTTGTGAGTTTGTATCATAGTGGAAGGAAACAGACAAAAAAAGTAAGTAAAATATAGACACTGGTATGTAGATGGTGATAAACGATAACGAGAAATATAAAATAAGGACACATTGGAAGTGACAACAGTGGGGAGGTAGAATTGGTATCTGCATTTAACGTTTTCTAACAACAAATCCAGGGTGGGGTACAAAGCAGTGAGAAAATGAGGCCCTTATGCTCAGCGCCCCCAACCCTGCGTCGGTGGGGTCACTATTCACTTTGGAACACTGCCCTTGGGACCAACATATTCTCAGTGATCCTTGTGAAGGTTTCCACCCTAAGTCCCTCATCCTCACCAGGCAATATTTATTCTCCCAAAGCAAACTATGGAGGCAACGCGGAGAAAGTGTGAATTAATTCAAGACTAAGGTTGCCAAAATGGGTGATCAGCTCTGCCTCAGCCTTGACATTGCATGACAGATTCCCTGATCGCCGCCGTCGCAGAAGCTCTGAATTGGAAGCGTGCATGTATTTGCAAATCCATTGCTGGCATTTCTTCCGTTAGCCTCCGCTGGAACTGGTTAGTGAAGATCCCCCCATTTCACAAGACAGCTTCAGTTTTGTTTCGTTTTGACTTCCCCACTCCGAAGCTGTAGCGCACTTTGTTTTCTCACGGGACAGGGGCGGCTTCCGGGGCGCGGCGTGCTGGGGGTTGTAGTCCACAATCTCCCGCCTGTTCCCGTTATAGAAGCCGATGGGCCGGGAGCTGCGGAACTACAACTCCTAGAGTACCCCGCGCCGCTGGGACGCCGTGCGGCTGCGGGGCGGGGCGAGCGCAAAGATGTCCGCGCCCGCTCCTGGGAGGCGAGGTGAGAGTCTTTGACCGTAACCAGGCGTCCGGAGCTGAGGCAGTTCCTGCACGTGTCGCGGGGCCGGAGACGCTAGGGCCAGGTATTCCAAGGATGCAAGAATCCTGCAAATTCGACATGTAAACTGCTTCCCCAGCCTCCAGGCGAGCCCTGCCTTTGCCTCAGGCCCCTTCCTTTTCCTTCTCGGGGAATCGACCTCGGGAAGGGGTGTGGGCAAAGAGATGAGGACTGTCCCTTTTCGCCCAGGCCAACTCGGGATATCCCGGAGCCTCTGGGGAGGCGGTCACTCCGACGTCTGAGGACCTGGGCCTTGGGCCCGGACTCGTTATGAAGAGCGACTGCTCGACCTCTGCAGCCCCCTTCAGGGGGCTTGGGGGACCTCTGCGCAGCAGCGAGCCGGTGCGCGCCGCCCCGGCCCGGTCGCCGGCCGTGGACCTTCTGGAGGAGGCGGCCGACCTCCTGGTGGTGCACCTGGACTTCCGGGCGGCGCTGGAGACCTGCGAGCGGGCCTGGCAGAGTCTGGCCAACCACGCCCTGCCAGAGGAACCCGCGGGCACGTACGTGCTGGGCTCGGAAATGAACCGATTTCCGGGTGCTCTTATGGTGGGGCCCAAGGTCTCAGGAGTTCTGTCATTCCCAGATTGCCCACAAGGAGCTTTACACCTCGCTTTCATCAGTGGTTTGTCTCCGACAGGGTGGTTGCTCATCGTGTGCCAATTCTACAGAGGAGGGAAGTCGTATAACAAGAGCTTAGTGGCGAACCCACGGCCAATTATTTGCTCCTTGTTCCAGGGTAGAATGGCATGATGCGAAGGCTGAATGTGTATTAAGTGCTAAGTTCTGTCAGTAAGCAGGTGGTAAAAGTCCTCTCCCAGGTACCTCCGCCCCGCCCCGCCCCGCCCCGCCCAAGGTTGTTTATTCCTGACCTTGCGGATGATGGGGAATGGGGGTCATGGCAGGAGCAGTGTTCTGGTCCAATTGGAAGAATGGATTAAATAATTAATTCAGGGCCGGGCGCGCGGGGGCTTACGCCTGTAATCCCAGCACTTTGGGAGGCCGAGGCAGGAGGATTGCTTGAACCCAGGAGTTCGAGACCAGCCTGGGTAACATAATGAGCCCTCTTCTCTAGCACAAAGAAGAAAAAGAAAAGAATCCGGAGAAAAAAACCTTGGGCTTGCATTGCTCTTTCTAATGCCACCAGCCTTGTCTGGCAGGTGAGAGCGTCATTTCTTTGCATTGTAAAGTTGGATTAGGCCACTCCAGGGAGGCGTTAGGTAGAATAGCGAAAGCTGACCGCAGAGAAGGATGATCTGGAGAGCCCTGGCTGTGTTTTAGGGTACTGGGTGGAAGCTCATTTCAGTGAATGCAGAAGGCTTTGCTTCTCGGTGTCTGGAGGAACCTTACTAGGTGGTGGCTTTTAGCCAGCTGTGGAGTTGCTATACCTCCATTCAGCCAGAAACCTTGCTCCAAGCCCATTTGTTCACTGAGCAAACTTAGTTCCAGCTCTTTTTTCTCCCACACACCGGTGATGCGTGTTATTTCTCCCTCAGGATTACTCTTCCTCTTCATTTAAATCTGATTTCACTTGGATACAAAGAAGAACGTTGAGCAACAGCTGACTTGCCTCTTAAGAGGTTTACAGGAACTTTTAGTTCCTGGGGGAAAGGGCAGCCCATAAGACCAATTGTGAAGCCCATCTAAGTACTAACAGGGATGAGAGAGATGGTGGCTGCTGAGTTGGGAGCTGGAGAGGAACAGTCCCAAGGTGGAGGTGGGCATGGAAATGGAGGGGAACCACTTCTAACTGAAATTGGTTTTTCTGCTGACAGCTCCTTGGAGGTGAAGTGCTCCCTGTGTGTTGTGGGGATCCAGGCCCTGGCAGAAATGGATCGGTGGCAAGAAGTGCTCTCCTGGGTCCTTCAGTATTACCAGGTCCCTGAAAAGCTACCCCCCAAAGTCCTGGAGCTGTGGTGAGTCGTCTTTGCTGACTCATCAGATCGTTTCAGAAACAAGAGGATTTGCATCTCCTCTCCGCAATCAGGGCCTAATACCTACTCTTTTTCCCCTTCCCTACTATTGCCCTCCACATCTAATTCTTTCCCTTCACTTCTTCTTTTTTTCCTAGAGTTCCATACATAGCAATAAAGGATAAGGGAGGAGGAATTTAGGAGTAGAATAGATATAAAGAAGGGAGGGGACAGGGAATAGGAGTGACATGGGATGACAGAGTGGACCGAGCTGAAAGAGCAGCTTGCTACATCCTGGGAATTTCTAATTCTTAAAAAAAAAAATTTTTTTGTTTTGTTTTGTTTTTTGTTTTTTTGAGATGGAGTCTCCCTGTGTCACCCAAGCTGGAGTGCAGTGGCGTGATCTCAGCTCACTGCAAGCTCAGCTTCCTGGGTTCATGCCATTTTCCTGCCTCAGCCTCCCAAGTAGCTGGGACTACAGGTGCCTGCCACCATGCCCGGCTAATTTTTTTGTATTTTTAGTAGAGGCGAAGTTTCACCATGTTAGCCAGGATGGTCTCGATCTCCTCGGCCTCCCAAAGTGCTGGGATTACAGGTGTGAGCCACCATACCTGGCCAAAAAAAGCAAAGTTTTTAAAATTGACACTTGTAATTGTACATATTTTTGGGGTAAGTTTGACATTTCAATATATGCTGTATATATGTTGTGTAATGATCAAATCAGGGTAATTGGGATATCCATCACCTCATGCATTTATCATTTGTTTGTGATCAGAACATTCAAAAGCCTCTTTTCCAGCTATTTTGTAATATGCAATACCTTACTGTTAACCATAACCACCCTACTATGCAATAGAACACCACATCTTATTCCTCCTATCCCATCGTAACTTTGTACCCATTGACAAACCTCTTTGTCTCCCTTTTCTTCCTTTCCCAGTCTCTGGTAACTACTGTTCTACTCTCTGCTTCTATGATATCAACTTTTTTTTTTTTAAAGATTCACATGAGTGAAATCATGTAGTATTTATCTTTCTCTGCCTGGCTTATTTCACTTAACCCGATGTCCCCCAGGTCCACCTGTGTTGTCATGAATGAAAAGATTTCATTCTTTTTCATGGCTGTATAGTATTCCATTACACACACACACACACACACACACACACACACACACACACACACACACACACTCTTTATCCATTCATCTATTGTTGGACACTTAGACTGATTCCATATCTTGGCCATTGTGAACAGTGCTGCATTAAACATGGGAGATAATGGATTGCTAGATCATGTGGTAGTTCTATTTTTGTTTTTTTCACCTGGCCATTCTTTTTTTTTTTTTTTTGAGACGGAGTCTCGCTCTGTTGCCCAGGCTGGAGTGCAGTGGCCGGATCTCAGCTCACTGCAAGCTCCGCCTCCCGGGTTCACGCCATTCTCCTGCCTCAGCCTCCCGAGTAGCTGGGACTACAGGCGCCCGCCACCTTGCCCGGCTAGTTTTTTGTATTTTTTAGTAGAGACGGGGTTTCACCGTGTTAACCAGGATAGTCTCGATCTCCTGACCTCGTGATCCACCCGTCTCGGCCTCCCAAAGTGCTGGGATTACAGGCTTGAGCCACCGCGCCTGGCCACCTGGCCATTCTTGAGTTTATTTTGATGACACTCGGTGAGAGTTCCCTGTACCTAGAAGAAGGTGTTGGGACTCTTGGTGTTGAATGTGGCTTGTGCTGAAGACACAGGACCTGGTAGGGCAGCAAGAACTTGATCTCGGAATTGTGGAACTGCTTGATTGTTGGCTGGGGGCACTTGCTGGCTGCAATCTCCTCCACTTTCATGATCCGGATGGTATAGGCCCTGGTCATGGTGCCAGGTGCCCATCTTGGTAGCACTGAGTGGTCAGGTCCCACTATTCTGCATTCATATTGTGGATGCTGCAGTAAGCGTCATAGTGTAGCCAAATGCCAAAGTTCTTCACTTGCAGGGGGATTTTTGGAACACCTGTCCAGTAGACACTTGCCCCTGAAGACTTCATCTTCTTTTTTGTTTTGAGACGGAGTCTTGCACTGTTGCCCGGGCTGCGGCTCACTGCAACCTCTGCCTCCTGGGTTCAAGTAATTCTCCTGCCTTAGCCTCCCTAGTAGCTGGGATTACAGGTGCTCGCCACCATGCCTGGCTAATTTTTTCATTTTTAGTAGAGACGGGGTTTCACTATGTTGGTCAGGCTGGTCTCGAACTCCCTACCTCATGATCCACCCACCTTGGCCTCCCAAAGTGCTGGGACTACAGGCGTGAGCCACCACACCCGGCCAAGACTTCATCTTCTTTAGTTGAGATACAAAGTACCAGAAGCGGGACTTGGCAACAACTTGCTTAGGTGCAGAGATTTGCTGGCAGTAGAAGGGCAGCATTTGGGGGTGGGCAGGCGGCAGATACTCTTGCAGTGTGCCCAAGGCCTTCATGGCATTCTCTCAGCACTTGCCACCACTTGCAAAAGGAAGTGCCGTCTTTCCTGTTTTGAATTTTTTAAAGGAACCTGCATTCTGGTTTCCATAATGGCTATACCAATTTACAGTCCCATTAGCAGTGTGTAAGTGCTCCCTTTCTCTACATCCGCACCCTCACCAACACTGATTTTCTTTTGCCTTTTTAATAAGAGCTGTTCTACCTGGAGCGAGGTGGTGTCTCAGTGTGGTTTTGATTGGCATTTCCCTGGTGATTAGTGGTGTTGAACATTTTGTCAGATACCTGTTGGCCGTGGTACATCTTCTGAGAAATGAGCAATGTCTATTGAGGTCTTTTTCCCTTTTGAATCAGGTTTTTTTTTTTTTTCCTGCTGTTAAGTTCCTGATATATTCTGGATATTAACTCTTTGTCAGATGGATAGTTTGCAAATATTTTCTCCCATTCTATAGGTTGTTTCTTCACTCTGAATTGCTTCCTTTGCTATGCAGAAGTTTTTAGTTTTTTGTCCATTTTTGCTTTTCTTACCAGTGCTTTTAAGGTCTTACTTTAAAAAACCCTTGCTCAGCCCAGGGTTGTGAGGCATTTCTCCTTTGCTTTCTTCTAGCAGTTTCATAGTTTCGGATTTTACACTTCAGTCTTGAATCCATTTTGAGTTAATTTTTGTGTGTGGGGAAAGGTAGGGGTCTGATCTCCTGCATAAGGATATCTGATTTTCCCAGCACCATTTATTGAAGAGACTGTCTTTTCCCCTGTATGTGTTCTTGGCACCTTTGTTGCAAATCAGTTGGCTGTAGGTGCGTGAATTTATTTCTGGGCTCTCTGTTCTGTTCTATTTTGTCTGTTTTTATGCCATACCATGAGAGCAGAACCATTCTGTTGTGGTTACTATTATAGCTTTGTGTAGTATAGTTTGAAGTCAGGTAATATGATACCTCCAGCTTTGTTCTTTTTGCCCACAACTGCTTTAGCCATTTGGGGTCTTTTGTGGTTCCATATGAATTTCAGGATTTTTGTTTCTTTTTTTTCTTTTTTTTTTTTTTTTTGTGAGACAGAGTCTTGCTGTGTCGCTCAGGCTGGACTGCAGTGGCGTGATCTCAGTTCACTGCAAGCTCTGCCTCCCAGGTTCACACCTTTCTCCTGCCTCAGCCTCCCAAGTAGCTGGGACTACAGGTGCCCGTCACCACGCCTGGCTAATTTTTTTGTATTTTTAGTAGAGACGGGGTTTCACCGTGTTAGCCACAATGGTCTCAATCTCCTGACCCCATGATCCGCCTGCCTCGGCCTCCCAAAGTGCTGGGATTACAGGTGTGAGCCACCGCGCCTGGCCAGGATTGTTTTTTCTATTTCTGTGAAGAATGCCATTGGTGTTTTGATAGAGATTGCATTAAATCTGTAGATGGCTTTGGGTATTCTAATAATATTCTTCCAATGTGTGAATGGACACAGGATATCGTTCCATTTTTTTGTGTCCCCTTCAACTTCTTTCATCAGGCTTTATAGTCTTCAGTGTAGAGATCTTTTACCACCTTGGTTTAATTTATTCCTAGGTATTTTTTTTTGGTAGCTATTGTAAATGGAATTGTTTTCTTGGTCTCTTTTCCAGTGGTATATAAACGCTGTTTTTTTGTACATTGATTTTTGTATCCCACAACTTTACTGAGTCCGTTTATTAGTTCTCTCTTTTGGTGGAGTCTTTAGGGTTTGCCGTATATAAGATCTTATTATCTGCAGACAGGGATAATTTTACTTCCTCCTTTCCGATTTGGATACCTTTTATTTCTTTCTGTTGCCTGATTGCTCTGGCTGTGACCTCCAGTACTCTGTTGAATAAAAAACGGTCAAAGTAGCCATCTTTGTCTTGCTCCTGATCTTAGAGGCAAGGCTTTCAGCTTCCCATTGAGTATGCTGTTAGTGATGGGTGTGTCATGGCAAATTCCCATTAGCATCCACATTGCATCAGAAAGGGCTGGAGGGCACAGTGAGGAGGGGTTGGATAGGAGAAGCATAGTGGTCACGAGAAATGAACCAATCATCGAGCACTGACTCTAATTTTGTTGGGATCGGGTTTTTTGGGGACTGCAGCATTCTTTTATACAGCAAAATGCAAGAGCCTAGAGCTGTGCTGGATGTGGTGGGTGCCTGGCTCCAAGACCCAGCCAACCAAGACCTTCCAGAATACGGAGCCCTGGCAGAATTTCACGTGCAGCGGGTGCTGCTGCCTCTGGGCTGCTTGTCGGAGGCTGAGGAGCTGGTGGTGGGCTCTGCAGCTTTTGGTGAGGAGCGGCGACTGGATGTACTTCAGGCCATTCACACAGCGAGGCAGCAGCAGAAACAGGAACACTCAGGCTCTGAGGAGGCCCAGAAGCCAAACGAGGAAGGTAGGACATGATCCCTTTGTGGCCTCTGTAAAGTGGACTTGTGGCCTTGCACTGTACCTCAGGGTCCATCGTGAAACTCCTGGGAGCTTAGGAGCAGTTCTTTGTATAAATAACTCTTGAATCACAGAATAGGAAGCCTGTTGAGTTGCTTAACAAAGTGAAGCCCAGACCCTCTGAAGTTGGCAGTGGAAGGAGAATCTCCACATGGGAAGGTGTTGCTGGGTCTTGGGACCTTGACTTGTCTTTTGAAAGTCATTTTTCCGCTGGAGTCCTCTGACGAGGTCTCTTGTATCCACCATACTGGTCTGGGTGGGATGTCCTTCCTCCTTTAAATGCTGGCCCCAATACAGACGCAGCTGAGATCTGCTGGGATAGCCAAAGGAATATAAGAAACTAATTTGCAGACCCTTTCCCTGGTCCCTGAATCTTTTCCACCCTTTTCCTTGAGTAATGATCTTGACCAGCTGTGAATACTTTCACGGACAGAAAGTCACCATCTCTTTTTTTTTTTTTTTGAGACAGAGTCTCGCTCTGTCGCCCAGGCTGGAGTGCAGTGGCGCAATCTCCACTCACTGCACGTTTTGCCTCCTGGGTTCATGCCATTCTCCTGCCTCAGCCTCCTGAGTAGCTGGGACTACAGGCACCCGCCACCACGCCTGGCTAAATTTTTGTATTTTTAGTAGAGACGGGGTTTCACCACATTAGCCAGGATGGTCTTGATCCCCTGATCTCGTGATCCACCCGCCTCAGCCTCCCAAAGTGCTGGAATTACAGCCATGAGCCACTGTGCCCAGCCCTGGCTAATTTTTTGTATTTTTAGTAGAGACGGGGTTTCACTGTGTTAGCCAGGATGGTCTCGATTTCCTGACCTCGTGATCTGGCCGTCTCAGCCTCCCAAAGTGCTGGGATTACAGGCACTGAGCCATCACACCCAGCCGTTCTGAAAGGTTTTAAAAAACTTTTACAAAGACTCATTCAATATAGTAAATAATATATAGTCAAAATAAGTAATAAACATGAGAAAAATAATTTATATTCATGAGAGTTGCAAGAGTATCTGCAGTTAAAGTACGAAGGCTTTAGCCAATACTTAGTACCCTTCTGCTCAGCCTTTTTTGTTTTTGTTTTTGAGATGGGAGTCTCGCTCTGTCGCCCAGGCTGGAGTGCAGTAGCGTGATCTCGGCTCACTGTGCTCACTGCAACCTCCGCCTCCCAGTTCAAGTGCTTCTCCTGCCTCAGCTTCCCGAGTAGCTGGGACTACAGGTGCCCGCCACCGCACCTGGCTAATTTTTTGTATTTTTAGTAGACTGGGTTTCACTGTGTTAGCCAGGATGGTCTCGATCTCCTGACCTCATGATCTGACCTCGTGACCCACCCGCCTTGGCTTCCCAAAAGTGCTGGGATTACTGGCGTGAGCCACCACGCTGGCCTTTTTTTTTTGAGACAAGTTTCACTCTTGTTGCCCAAGTTGGAGTGCAATGGCATGATCTTACTGCTTACTGCAGCCTCCACCTCCCAGGTTCAAGTGATTCTTGTGCCTCAGCCTCCCAAGTAGCTGGGACTACAGGTGCACGTGGCCATGCCCGGCTAATTTTTTGAATTTTTAGTAGAAACCGGGTTTCACCATGTTAGCTAGGCTGGTCTTGAACTCCTGACCTCTGCTGATCCGCCCGCCTCGGTCTCGCCTCCCAGAGTGCTGGGATTACAGGCATGAGCCACCGCGCCCAGCCTGCTCAGCTCTTAGAAGCAAGCGCAGAGGGTGGGGTCAGGGAAGCTGATTCCCGTGACTCCCCTGAAGCTGTGCTCTGTCTCCCTGGCCAGGCTCTATCTCCCACAAGTTCCTGTCACTACCGATGTTGGTTCGCCAGCTTTGGGACTCTGCGGTGAGCCACTTCTTTTCTCTGCCCTTCAAAAAGAGCCTCCTGGCTGCCTTGATCCTCTGTCTCCTGGTGGTGAGGTTTGATCCTGGTAAGTGGTGGCGACTCTTCCCCCCTCCTTCCTGGGAAGGGGTTGTTGTCAGGGCTGGGCCTGTGGGAGTGGGTGTTTGTCAGTACTCCTGTCAGAGTCCTACTGGGAATGGGGGCCTCTCCTATGACATTTCCCCCCGAGTCTGTTCCACAAGGAGGAATTGCTAGACTGGGGCATGAGTCAGCCCCACCCAGAAGGAGAGGCCAGTCCTGGAGTCTGTGAGAGCAGCCGGGAGAAAGTCCACTTGGCTCTGCTGACTCCTGAACATGGACTGAGTCATAGCCCTCCACTTTTTCTAGGGCTGACCTCTGACCGGAACCTCAGAATTTAAAAAAACTTCCCCTCGGCCAGGCGCGGTGGCTCACGCCTGTAATCCCAGCTCTTTGGGAGGCCGAGGCAGGCAGATCACAAGGTCAGGAGATAGAGACCAGTGTGGCCAACATTATAAAATCCCGTCTCTACTAAAGGTACAAAAAAAATTAGCCAGGCGTAGTGGCACATGCCTGTAGTCCCAGCTACTTGGGAGGTTGAGGCAGGAGAGTAGCTTGAACCCAGGAGGCAGAGATTGCAGTGAGCCAAGATTCCGCTGCTGCACTCCAGCCTGGGTGACAGAGCAAGACTCTGTCTCAAAATAAATAAATAAATAAACTTCCCCTCATCAGAATGTCTACAAAAGTGTTAATTCAAGTATTAATGTCTAATGAAGTGTTAATTCGAAACAAGTTGTAAATGAAAAACTCATACCTTTTAGAAAATGTGGAAAATAGGCTGGACATGGTGGCTCATGCCTATAATCCCAGCACTTTGGGAGGCCGAGGCGGGTGGATCACCTGAGGTCAGGAGATCGAGACCAGCCTGGCCAACATGGTGAAACCCCCTCTCTACTAAAAATACAAAAATTAGCTGGGTGTGGTGGTGTGTGCCTGTAATCCCAGCAACTAGGGAGGCTGAGGCAGGGAGCATTGCTTGAACCTGGGAGGCAGAGGTTGCAGTGAGCTGAGATTGCGCCATTGCCCTCCAGCCTAGGTGACAGGGCGAAACTGTCTCAAAAAAGAAAAAACAATGTGGAAAGTAGAGAAAAGTATAAAGAAAGGCACAGAAATCTGCTACTCTGCTATGCTTTCAGTCTGTTTCTGTGGATATAGAGATTGTAGGCAGTTACATGTCATACATATGCTTTCAAGCATGGCCTTAAATGGCTAAATATTCCAGTTCCCAGGAATGCCCCTAAGTAATTTAACAACCCGTGTTTTTGAACATTTGGGTGGTTGTTCTGTTTTCTGCCTGGCTGTGAAGAAGGAATGAGCTCCCTAAGTGATATTTGGGAACAACCCTGGTGATTTCCTGAGGATTGACCCCTCAGGTGCATGAGGCCAAACTTAGGCACTCGCTCTTTTAGGTTTTTTTGTGCTACTCAATGTGAGTTATGTTCTAATCTCTACTCTTCTCTTTTTTTTTTTTGAGACGGAGTCTCGCTCTGTCGCCCAGGCTGGAATGCAGTGGCCGGATCTCAGCTCACTGCAAGCTCCGCCTCCTGGGTTTACGCCATTCTCCTGCCTCAGCCTCCCAAGTAGCTGGAACTACAGGCACCTGCCACCACTCCCGGCTAGTTTTATGTATTTTTTAGTAGTGACGGGGTTTCACCATGTTAGCCAGGATGGTCTCGATCTCCTGACCTCGTGATCCACCCGTCTCGGCCTCCCAAAGTGCTGGGATTACAGGCTTGAGCCACCGAGCCCGGCATCTACTCTTCTCATGAATTTAGACTTAGAATATGATTAAGTTTCAAAATTTAAGAGGAAATCAGAAACCCTTCAAATGGTTCGTCTGTTTTGAGAACTGCCATTTATTAACTTAGTCTTTAGATTCTCCCTGTTTCCCCATTTCTCTTTCTCTTATTCAGTGAGCTTTTAAAAAAAAAAAAAAAATTATTTATTTATTTATTTTAATTTTAATTTAATTTAATTAATTTATTTATTTTTTTGAGACAGGGTCTTTCTCTGTTGCCCAGGCTGGAGTGCACCAGTGTGATCTTGGCTCATTGCAACCTCTGCTTCCTAGGCTCAAGCAATCTTCTCTCCTCTGCCTCCCAAGTAACTGGGACTACAGACACCTGCCGCCACGCCCTGCTAATTTTTTTTGTTTTTTTTTTTTTTAGAGACAGAGTCTTGCTTTGTTGCCCAGGCTGGAGTGCAATGGCGTGATCTCAGCTCACTGCAAGCTCCGCCTCCTGGCTTCACGCCATTCTCCTGCCTCAGCCTCCCGAGTAGCTGGGACTACAGGCGCCCGCCACCATGCCCGGCTAATTTTTTTGTATTTTTAGTAGAGACGGGGTTTCACCGTGGTCTCGATCTCCTGACCTCGTGATCCGCCCGCCTCAGCCTCCCAAAGTGCTGGGATTGCAGGCATGAGCCACCACGCCCGGCCTAATTTTTTATTTTTATTTCTGAGACAGAGTCTCGTTCTGTTGCCCAGGCTAGAATGTTGCCCAGGTTGCAGTGGTGCACTGCAACCTCCACCTCCTGGGTTCAAGCGATTCTCCTGCCTCAGTCTCCCAAGTAGCTGGGATTACAGGCACATACCACCATGCCTGGCTACATTTTGTATTTTTAGTTGAGACGGAGTTTTGCCATGTTTGCCAGACTGGTCTCCAACTTTTGGCCTTAAGTGATCCTCCCACCTCAGCCTCCCACAGTGCTGGGATTATAGGCATGAGCCACCATGCCCAGCCAGTGAGGTTTCCTTCACATAGCTCAGAGGTGTCTTTCTAACCTGTCTGCTGAACGCTGAGCAGAGATCCCCCGTGGATGGCTCTGTTTGCTTTACAAAGAAGTCACGAGTTAGCTCTCAGAATGCTTAGTATCATCAGCGTTCATCCCTGGCCACCTCCTGACTGATACAAATTTAGAAATTCTTTGTGATTCTTTAGGGTTCCTGTAAGCCCTTTAGTCTCGTAAACCCTGGTCTCCTAGTGGGGATGGCATGAGGACATTTGAGCCTGCTCTTTCCAAGGCTGCTTCAGAAGGGCCTGGCCCAGTGGCCCTGACCCTCAGCAGCAGGCCCGACTCATTGGAGCGATGATGCTGAGGGGAGGAGAAACTGCACCTGCAGGCTGAGGCGGGAGGATCACTTGAGCCCAGGAGATTCAGACTGCAGTGAGCCGAACACGGACTGTACTGTACTCCAGCCTAGGCAGCAGAGCGAGACCCTGCCTCTAAAACAACAAAACAACTACGTGTAATGGGTGGTGGGGTCTCCCAGGCTGGGAGATGGCAGGGTGACAGGCGAGAGGGGCGGGACGTTCACAGTAGTTTCCCTCTGCCCTGCAGCTTCCCCTTCCTCCCTGCCCTTCCTCTACAAGCTGGCCGAGCTCTTCCGCTGGATTCGGAAGGCTGCATCTTCTCGCCTCTACCAGCTCCGCATCCGTGACTGAGGGTCCCTGTGCACCACAGCCTCTCTGTTCCTCACGTCTGCGGCAACAGAAGCAGAGCGACAGAGCGACACATCCACAGGCACCCCTGGGGAAATGGGATCAGCCTAATCTCGCAGAGTGCACTGTGTCTTGCTGCCTGGGAGCCCTCTCCTTTGCACCCCACTTTGGCTGGTCATGGTAGATGATGTGGAAACAAAGCGGGACCAGCAGACACAGCACCTCCAGAACAGTGCCCCTTGAAAAGGAGGGGTTTGGGGACAGGGACTGTGTCCATGAAACATTCCATCTTCTCAGCAAAGGCAAGGGGTTGGTTCTTCAGGTCAGGATGTTAATGGAGCTGGAAGTTCAGAAAAAGCCTGGTGGAGTGACCCTCGGCCTTTCACTTCTTGAGAAACATACTTCTTTGCTGGGCATGGTGACTCATGCCTGTAATCCCAGCAGTTTGGGAGGGTGAGGTGGGTGGATCACTTGAGGCCAGGAGTTCAAAACCGGCCTGGCCAACATGGTGAAACCCTGCCTCTACTAAAAATACAAAAATTAGCCAGGTGTGGTGCATGCCTGTAGTCCCAGCTACTCAGGAGGCTGAGGCACGAGAATCACTTGAGCCAGGGAGGCAAAGGTTGCAGTGATCCGAGATTGTGCTACCACACTCTCAAAACAAAAAAACATGCCGCACAGGACAGTACCTTAATTAGCTAGAGTGCGATCTGAGAGGGCCTCTTCTTGCCTGCGCTGTGCTCCCCAGAGCTGATCTAATTCTGTATCGAGATGCTGCTCCCATGGTCTTGCCACGCGCTTGAAGCTCTGGGAGCCTTCTTACCGTTCAGACTGGGGCGTGGTTTTCAGAACCACCCGGTTGACTACTGAAAACCAAGTGAGCCTTACAGCTCTTATCACTGGGTAAAGTGATCTTGCCTGGTGCCTCTTGGTCTTCAGCTCAATTTTCCAGGTTGTCCTGGCCAAGCCTTGCTGTGTTACGCTCAGTGCCTCTTTCCACTCTCCCCGCCAGCCCCTCCCTCCCGCCCTGCAAATTGTCCATTGGCTATTTCACCAGGTTCTGCTTGTATCCTTGCCTCCTTGGTACACACCATTGCAGGTTCTTCCCTTTCTGTGTCCCATTGTCCTAGTTATGTTCTGTTGTTTGTGTAATGCCCAAATTTTTCTGCTCGTGTGGCCTTGAAAAGTAGGCCAGCCTCAGAGACTGCTGAGCTGAAAATGGAACTGAGTAATCAGGTGAGCTGGAAGGGATGTGGGGGCGGGGCAGAGGAGAGACATGGGTTTTGAAGGCAGTGAACAATAAAACCTTAGGGAGGTGGCACCGAGGCCTTAGCGTATGAGGAGCTGAAATGTTTCGGTGTTGTTTTCTTACCAGCCACAAGCATCTTACGAGTTTCTGTGCAGGGAAGCATAGAGTACTGCTGTGCTGTCAGGATGAAGAAGGGCTTTTGGCAGGGGCTAGCCTTTCTGTACCCAGAGGCCAAGCAGGCTGCCCTGCACCGTGTCCTTGGTTGGTGTTGATGCCAAAAATACAGAAGGTGCTTGCTAGCTTTTCCTTGGTACATTTTTGGGGGTTGCCAGTCAACAACTTTTCTTTAGAAAAATGGGTAAAGTAGGCCGGGCGCGGTGGCTCAAGCCTGTAATCCTAGCACTTTGGGAGGCCGAGACGGGCGGATCACGACGTCAGGAGATCGAGACCATCCTGGCTAACACAGTGAAACCCCGTCTCTACTAAAAATACAAAAAATTAGCCGGGCGAGGTGGCGGGCGCCTGTAGTCCCAGCTACACGGGAGGCTGAGGCAGGAGAATGGTGTAAACCCGGGAGGCGGAGATTGCAGTGAGCTGAGATCCGGCCACTGCACTCCAGCCCGGGTGACAGCGAGACTCCGTCTCAAAAAAAAAAAAAAAACCGAAAAATGGGTAAAGTAGGTAAACTTCACAGGCCCCTTAGAATTAAATCCCTAGGGCATGGTTCAAGTCTGTAGGAAGCAAATCTATGCTTTTTTATATGGGCTTTTAAGTAGAGCTTAGAACCCTGGGGGGAGAAGGGCAGTCAGGTGAGGTTTGAGATTCCTTCTATAGAATGATTTCTTAAAATGAAAATCTGAGCCCACTTACTACCCTAGATAAACCGCTTCAGTGGCTTCCCATGGCTCACAGGGTAACATCTAAATTCTTCATGGAATTGAAGGCCTCTGTGTGCTGCTTTTGGCTAACACCTCCCCTTGGATGTGGGGCCCCAGTTCATTATACGCACAGCCTTCCAGCTGCCCACCATCACAGCTACAGCACGCTCCCCTTGGGCCTCTGTGCCTTGGCTCACACTGTTCCTGCTGAAGGCCTAGCACCTGCTCTTGGCCTGGTGAGCCCCGCCACCTTCCAGGCTTACTCAAAGAATTCTTTCCGTGCCCCCCTACCCCCCCCCGCCATGTCCTAGGCCCTGTTTCATGTCCCTTCTGTAGTAGTGAACCCATGGTCTTGTAATTGTGAACTTCTTTGTTGCCACTTCGAAGTTGGCGAGTGCTCGTTGCAGATGCATCCAAGAGGGGTAATCTGCATATTAACAGTGGACGTGTTGATTGTTTCTGCAGGGTTCTGAAGCATGCAACATAGAACAGATACCTTTACATTTAGGGGTGCTAAGGAAAGCAGGAACCAGTAATCCTCTCCTATGGTTGGATGGGAGGCTTGGGAGAGGGGTGGAATGGAGAGGAAACAGGCTACTGTTGGCCAGCCTGGGGTGGAGGTGGGTGCAAGCAGGACAGATAGTGCCTGGGGGCGGGGGGCGGAGGCTTTGCCTCTAGAAAGGGGCTAGAAGGGATGAGGAAAGAGCTCATAGCTTCATGCAGGTGATCCCTGTTCTTCTGCATGTGTGTGTTTGCACATGAGTGTATGTAGACCACAGACCATTAAAAAATATGGAATTCAAAAGTAAGTTACAAAAGGGTATTCATGGAAAATAAAGTCTTTTTTTTCAGTGTTGCTATGTTTCCCAGGCTGGACCCGAACTCCTGGGCTGGAGCAGTTCTCCCCCTCAGCCTCTGGAGTAGCTGGGCCTACAGGTGTGCGCTGCCACACCCAGCTAATAAAATCTCTTTCTACTCCCACTGTCTATTCCCCAGTTTCGTGCCCAGAGGCAACCCCTGCCAGTCTGTTTATCCCTCCAGATACAGTCTCTGATAGTAAGCTTTTCTTTCTCATATACTAATGATAGTAGTCACATACACTACACACACTGTGCCACATTTTTTTTTTTTTAACTGTCTCAGCCGGGCGCAGTGGCTCACACCTGTAATCCCAGCACTTTGGGAGGCCGAGGTGGGTGGATCACCTGAGGTCAGGAGTTCAAGATCAGCATGGCCAACATGGTGAAACCCTGTCTCTACTAAAAATACAAAAAAATCAGGCACGGTGGTGGGCTCCTGTAATCCCAGTTATTCAGGAGGCTGAGGCAGGAGAATCGCTTGAGCCCGGGAGGCAGGGATTGCAGTGAGTGCACTCCAGCCTGGGCAACAAAGAGTGAAACTCGGTCTCAGAAACAAAACAAAACACAAAAACCTTTCTCAGTCCCAGCATATGTGGAGCAGCCTCATTCTTCATACCTGTGTGTCATTCCATTGCGTGATGGGGTCACAGAGCACAGACCTGGTGCCCTTTTCCTTTTTAATGTGTGGAAACCCCTCCTTTCTTTCCAAAGCCTACAAGCACAGCAGCCCCAAGTTTAGGGTGAACAGTAGTGGTCAGAGCTCTTTACTGTTACTTTTGGGCAAATGCAAACCAGCCTGGCAACCACCACTGCCACGGAGGGGAGATGAGAACAGGCCATTTCACACTCTGGACGTTCAGTTGCTTTCTAAATCTAGAATGGCACTCGGGTGTCCTCTGCCATCCACTGAAAGCAGCCCAAGGAACTGTCAGAAAGAGAAAGTCATGACATGAACCGAGTAGGGCACCTCCCTGTGCCGTCATCTGCTTTCCTCCCTCCCAGCACGGAAAAGCCGTGGGGCTGATGGACTTTGACCTCACAGCCACAGATGGGGCCTGTGGGGATTCTACTGATTTACTCTCTGGCCTAGTGAGGCAGCCAAGCAGTGGCCTGACCAAGGTCTGCCTTACCGCCCTGGCCTGGCACCTTTGGGAACTGAATACGTGGAGTGTTAACCAGAAAAACGTCTGGCCCTTTAGCCTCGCTGCCTCTGGAAACGTCAGTGTTTTGGGCTGGTAGGAAGCTACAGGACAGACAGTGGGCACAGTGCCTAGCAGCCTGTCACGTCACCCCCCGCCGCCCCGCCTCTGCATTCCTCCTGCCGTGGTGTAGGGGTCCAGACATTGTTTGCCACCTCTAGGCCTCTTGATAAAACAGCAAATATTTTTCTTGTGTTAAAGCAATGCATGTATATTTTAGAAAATATTAATTGCATAGAAGGAAATACAGGACTCGTGATCCCACCACTCAGAAATAATTACTATTAATACTGGTTGATTTTCTTTCAGCTTTTTTTCCCTAATTAATTAATTCCTTTTTCCTGCAACTCCTGCCTCAGAGACTTTTTTTTTTTTTTTTTTAACATCCAGCTTGCCATGGTGGCTCACGCCTGTAATCTCAGTGCTTTGGGAGGCCAGAGTGGGAGGATTGCTTGAGTCTGGGAGTTCAAAGCTAGCCTGGGCAACCTAATGAGACCCCATTTCTTTTTTTTTGTGAGGGGGGCATGTTATAAAAGCCCTTTTATAAAGTCATTTTTAAACAAAACAAAAAGTTTACAAAAGAAAAAAAGATACAGAAAAAGAATAACTTGCTTCATATGTCCCAGAAAGAGAAAAAATAAAGGGGACAATGCCAACATGCTCAACAATAAAGGGTTATTTTATTTTTTAAATACAAAATACAAGCAAAGGATACACACACTTAGAGCTCAGGAGCGGACCCGCAGTCCTGGAAACCCTTCAATAAAAGCAAAGCAGGAGTTTGTTTTTTCTTTGTCTATGCAGATACATACAGAGATGGGGATATGTAAAACTTAAGTATCACAAAAGACCATCACACGAGTCTACCAATGCATCTTGCATCTATAATTCACAAACATGGTCAACAAAATCATGTTCATTTCAACCCCATTTCATTTAAAGAAAAAAACCTGACCGGGCGCGGTGGCTCACGCCTGTAATCCTAGCACTTTGGGAGGCCAAGGTGGGCGGATCACGAGGTCAGGAGATCAGATCATCTTGGCTAACATGGTGAAAACCCGTCTTTACTAAACAAAATACAACAAAAGCCGGGCGTGGTGGCGGGCGCCTGTAGTCCCAGCTACTCGGGAGGCTGAGGCAGGAGAATGGCATGAACCCGGAAGGCAGAGCTTGCAGTGATCCGAGAT